TGATTTTTCGGGCTCTTCCAGAGCACTAAAATGTTTCTGTTTAGGCCAAACTTTCTGCGTCGCAGGCAAGTTTTGAAAAAATAGGCCAACAAAGCGTTTTAGGCACTTTTTGAAAATGTTGACCAAAAAACTGCGTTTTTTGGCGCGCGCTCCCCCCTCAAAAATAGTATATATTGGCGCCCAAGGCGCCTTTAGAAAATTTTTAGGGTCCGTCACTAAAAATGGATTTTTCAAAATAGTACAAAGCGGGGACACCCCCCCCCCCAAAAAAAAACAAAATCCGCCCCTGGACCGTTGTGACCCCAAACAGAAAATATTTCATGAAAGTATGGTGCTTTTGGACACAAAACATTGTTAAGCTTAATATCTTTTTTCTGCATCTTAACAAAACTTTGCGGCCATTTAGTCATGCCGCATTTCGAGCCTTAAAATTTTTTCCTGCTTTAGTAGGTTTCCACCCTCAAAGTTTCATTCAAGACTATTTCAGTGGAGGTTCTGCGCAATAGTAAGTTGAAGTTGAGACTCAGATGAACTTGGGCGCATAGTTATGAAACAGTCATTGATTCTGAAGGTTTTTGGTTTTCAACTTAATTTTTTTTTGCGTTATGTTTTTAATTTTTGAAGGTGCAATTTGAGCATTTACAGAACTTTATCAAAGTCATTCACTTTTTAGCGGCTTGTATGTAATTTTAAGCGCCATGTTTGTATAAATGGATGTCACGGATCTTTTGACTTCGGAAATTTTCAATGATGCCGATTTTTTTTTGGTTTTGTTAAATAAAAAAACTAAAACTCTTATTTTATAGTGGGTTTAATTTTGCTGTTAAGGGTTGGTATAGGTAATGCTAGGTTTGTTTTTGTTGTTGTTGTTGTTGTTGTTGTTGTTGTTGTTGTTGTTGTTGTTGTTGTTGTTGTTGTTACAGGTTGGCTTATATGAAAACATTTTGCTGTGGTTGATATTTATTTCACCCATAGGTCTACCGGAACGCAAGCGTGTACAAAATGAGGCGTTTAGTTTTGTGAGACGTGTGGAGACGTTTAGTTTTGTGATCCATTTTGATGCTCTTACACTCACCAAAACTGAGTTTTTCGACGTAAATGTTTTACTTTTACTGACTTTAAAACATGATCCAGTTTTATATCCCCAATAAAATGAATATAAATCAAATAGTTTGTAAACCGGGCAAAACCCATGCGAGGAAGAAGTAAAAAAAAAGTGAGTAATATTTTCAAAAAATTTGACACATGCGCGAACTTAAACTTTGAAAATTAAGAATTTTCTAATTTAAATTTTTTTAAACGCTAAATTAGCATGACTGCAAGGCGTGCCTTTCTGTGATGGGAAACTGGCCACAACCAGTGGAAACAATTATAACCCCTCAAACAGGCTAGTTTTTTAAAGACTGGGGGTATCCTCCGAGGACGCAGAGGGGTTGAGCAATTCCCTAATTCACTTTGGAACCAGCTCAAAAACGCGAAAAATGGAAGGCAGAAAACCAAAATTTCTGTGGCGGGAGGGCACAGGGCCTTCCAGATGGGGATGGGGTGTGCTCACCCCACCATTTACAAATTGATCCAATTCCTGAGAAAAAAAAGTCTGTCGGAGAAAATATTGGCAAGAATAATTGCCGGAGAAAGTACCGCCAAGTGGCAAAATACGAAACAAAGTCGAGCCAGATTAGTTGAACTCCTTAAACTTTTTACTATCAATAATATTTTCAAGCAAGTTGAGGGCCTCTCTTTTAATTTAGATTTTTTTGTAAATAACAAAAATGCCGCAAACTACACAAAAAAGCCGCAGGCAAGCTAACAAATATTGCCGCAAACAAAAAAGCTGCAAACGACGGAAAATTTCCGCACGCAAACTACGCAGAGTATGACCATACAAAGTTAGCGAGTGGGGGACTTGACAAACATTTTTGCTTGAACCAAAAAGTTTTAAGTGAATAGTTTCACTTGGTACCAGCAGCTCGAACTTTCACGTGGCATCATTATTGCAAACCAAATGGGTCCCGCTGTGGTAAACATTGTTTTACCAACAAAACAGTTTCAGGATTGAGGTTCATAAACATATACGTATATTTTTGAAAACCGCAGATTCCTGAATCTATCCTCAACTGTAATGTTAAATATTTCAGCACTAATGCCAAAAAGAAAAGGCTTCAATCAGAGTCGTTGATTGAAGCTTTGCCATCCAATGAACGATGTAAGCCCCCATTAGACTGCGGGCTCAATTTACATTTTTACTGTCAAAGTCTACGGATTTCGTCAGTCGCCAATGCGGATTCGTTGCACATTTCTTTTAAATGGTTAGTTAAAGTCCTTAGGTTTTGCGGATTTCAGGTTTTGCGGATTTCAATTACATGTTGCAGATTTAGTGACAGGTAGCAAAGAAGAGGATGACGCCATTGCAGGTATATGGGCATATCGTTACTAAGTATCATAGGGGGATAATTAAAGAGATCCAAAGTTTTGACGGCCTTTGCAATTTGATAAACTTTATGTCGAATAGTGTCTTCTAGTGGCGTTATCGCGCAAACTGATTATTTGAAAACTGCTTCGGCAAATCGAATTCAATTTTATTTAATTTTTTTTTCATAACTTTCTAAAGTAACAACGTCTGATCTTTACATTTTGAGTTTCGTAGATTCCATGTTATTCTGGTGGAATGGCAATAACTTTAAACTGATTCTGAAGTTTAAGAAATGTTCTTGATTCAATTGATTTAAAAACGCAGACACCCTAAATCTCCACAAATTTTTTGACTATTTTTCTCATGTTTTTGAGAACGCTTTCAACGCAAGTTTTAATCATAAAACTCAGAAAAAGGCGAAATGTTCCATTGATCGTTTTTAATTTCACCAGAATGAGAACAAAACCTAAAATTTTGACAAAATTCCAGTGTGTCTCCGACAGATGCCGCACCAATTATATAATTGCCAATTCTGCTATTCGCAGAGGATCTACGAAAGGCCTTGCAGCCTGGCTAAGCATAGTCAGTTTCTCTTATAGTAGAGTTTACAGGAAAACACCTTTAATTTACCCAGTTTACTTGAAAATTTTTGAAAATCCGCCCCCTTCTCGAGAAAATTCTAGATCCGCCCATGATTTACTTATAAAGACGGAGATTCTTTAGTAGATGCAATAGAGGGGGAGGGGCGGAGAAATTGTTAATGAGATCCGAAAAACCTAGGGTTTTTTTTTCCATTAATTAAAATGTGGTTCTTGCGAATTGTAGAGAAGCTATCCGTAGGCTTTAATAGTCCTGTCAAGGGTAGTCTATTTGTATTATCTCATCACTTTCCAGACCGGTTTATTTTGTTGAGCGCAGCTCTATTCTCAACTCAAGGTCGTTTTTTGCGTCTAGAGTTTTAAAGTGATATGACTATTGCAGCCGAAATCGGTCAGGTTGTGGTGGACCTGAAGTTGCAGGTCAAGTGACGACCACGACTTGATCGCCTTACCAATATGCTAAGTGGCTCTAATTATTTTTTTCCAAGAAGAAAACTACGGTTACTTTTCTATTGGTAATAACTGCTACCAATTTTTCAGACTTTTTTTGTGTTTCTTCAATTGGAGCAAATTTTCGAAAAACTGAACGTAAAAATGAAGGTTAAGTAATATAAACCATACTTCTAGGCATGCTCTCTTTTATTTAATAATTGTTTGTAAGAAAATCCCGGCTGCGTAGCTAAAAGTTTAATATTTGAACTGATTTGACAAATCTTAAATTTTTCATACAGAAGCCAAAAAATTTCTCGTGTCCGCTAATGATTCAAGCTTGCAACCGGTCACTTTTTTCTCTTTTTTCATCTTAGAAAGCTCAATTTTCAACTGTTTTTTTAATTTTCAAGCTTCTCATGTTAGTAAGTTAGGTTTCTCTTGAAGCGGCAAATTTTTAACTTGAGGTCGATTCATCTTCAATTTTTAGCCATTTTTCACATTTACACTAGCCTTTCAAGGATAAAAAACCGTAGAACCTGTATTAGTTAAAATCTAGACTGTAAATATGTTACAATTTACAAAAATGGTAAATCAAAGAAACTTTTTATCGCAACTTCGCCTGGGGCCGACGCAAATAATAATCAGCCGGGTTTCACCAAGATTCAAAAGCATAAAGAAATGAAGAAACCAAAAGCATGCAGAAACGAAGAAACCAAAAGAATAGATAAGCGAAGAAACCAAAAGCATAAAAAAACGACGGAGCCAAAAGCATAAAGGTTATTTTTTGTATCAGGAAAATGACTAAAATACCAATAGTTGTTGTGCTACAGTCACGAGACATAGAAATTGCAAGTTTTAGTTTTCAAACAAGATAATGAACCAATTTTTTTTAAAGTTTGTGCCGTTTTCTCTACAACTAATAAAGATACACGGTTGAAACTTTGACAAATGGTGAATGAAACTTTTTTTTCCGACAAAAGCCGGGTAAAAACCGCAAAAAATATATTTTTAAGGTGTCGTTTGGCCATTTAATTAGAAGGCAAACGTTCATTACCTCGCTTGAAAACTAGAAGTTGCAACTTCTAGGTCCCGTAACTGTAAAACCTTTTTACCCAAGTTGTACCAACAAGCTAAAGCATTTCATTTCGTTTTATGAGAAACGGGGATTAAACTTAACTGAATCAAACCCCACCCCTCCAGATAAAAAGTCAGGACTGTAATTTTTGTTAATAATGACCGATCGCAATGAAAATTTCGTTCGTGATCTAACTACTACTGTTCTGAAGGACCAATGTTTACACCATAAAGTTGATTTTTATTGGACGCAGAGGTGCGAAAGTCATAGGTTTTATCACCATTTCTTCATATCTTCTTAAGATCAGTATCACTTCAATCCAACTTTTTTAATCAGCCCCCCCCCCCTTAGCATCGAAACAACCACCATCTCCTGCACGTAATTCTCAAAAACTATAATAACGAACAAAATTTTCTAGCACAAAATTGAAGAGTTTATCTATACAATGAAAGCAATAGCAACTTTTTTCAAGCATACAGAACGCTTTTACGAACGCATGCTTTTTCTATGTGCGCTTTAAACATTGCTTAAAATATACTTAATCATTTGGTATTAGAAACAAAATTTTATTTAACTGAAAAAGTAAACAAATATAAAAATTAGCTTTCAAAAATGTCTGTAGTTCCTGCAGTGGATGTTCAAAAGTTGACCTCGGCTGACTGCAAAAGACTAGTCGGTTTCTACCTCTCGGAACTGAGGAGGATTCAAGCGAAGCACATGGAGTTCCTTAATCAGAAGTTCACATTCATAAAAGCCGTGCAAAGGGACCATCTCACAACAGGCAAGTTTGCTCAACAAGTTGGCTCTTCATATGTCCACCAGATTTTTCATCCAAAAACTTCTTCAATTTTCTATTAAATTTTGTGGTGTTCAACTTTCTTAATCCGTAACAATTTAATTTACCCTTGTTTTTTTTTGCTCTGAACATTTTTATGCCAACTTTTTAGGACACTGTTATATTACCTCTTAGGTATGAGGTTCTCCAAATTCACAGATTTTGAATCAACTTTATTTTTTTCGTATACATGTTCAGACAATAACCAATCTCATTAGACCATCATAGTTTTTAAACTCATTGATGTTATTTGTTTTTGATATTCTAAAATATTGTGAAGGTGCAAAAAAATTTTAGTTTAAAACTATTGGGAGTAAAAAAAAGCAGGGTAAAAACATACGGGAAAAATTAAGACGAAACTTTTTCATTAACGGCAAATGTTCATAGATCTTGTTGGTTTATCTGTCATTTGCTATTCCTAGAACTGAAAAGCTTTGCGAAAAAAAAGGTTTGTATTCGGGTGTCTCTTCGACACACAAAACAAGGAAATCAACGTAAGATGAGATTAAACAAAACTTTTTGGGGGACCTTTCATGCCAGAAACCGAATGGCAAAAGTTTATTTTTGCCAGTCACAGCTTAGTAATCGAAAGGATTCGAAAAATTTAAGCGAAAGTATTCAAAAAAATTAAGCTGGAAAATCAGTCAGTTTAGGACAGTTTGAAGGACGCTGATTGGTTGAACGTTTTAGTCCTCCTGGGATGAAAAAAAACTCATTATTGTTCCGATCATTTCTTTTTAGTTTTTTTCTTTTTTTTTTGTTTTCCGCGCAAAACTAGCACCAAAATACAAAAATTCCAAAAAAAATCAGTGTCGGGAAAAATCGGTTTAGGGATTTTGATTTTTCATCTCTTTTTCGAGCGAGTAAAGCAAGCAAGCAGGCTTATCTTGCTTTTCAATCAAAAGCATTTACCACAAATAATCATTGTAGTGGATAGTGTTATATATCATGTTGAAGGCCTTTCAGCCTCGATTCACGCGACATTAAAAAATTCGAAACGTTGTCCATTGTTGAGAAAAAACAGTTTAAATTTTTCATTGTTTTTATTCTACTTTTGAGCGTAAAAAAGCAAGTGAGCAGGCTCAGTTTAGAAATAAAGCTTTAGTTTAGATCCAATTGAACTAATTTTTGAAATTTTTCTTGCCGAAAGATTTCAAAAATATTTTGTAAAGAAAATTGAAATTTTTTTATTAATAATAATAATAATTGTTGTTTCTGCTAATCGCAGAGGAGATATCAGTAGGCCTTAACAGTCCTGTCGAGGATAGTCCATTTGTATTATCTCCCCACATTCCAGACAGTGTTATTTTGCTGAGCGACGCTGTTTTTTTGCGACTCAAGGCCGTTTTTTTGCGTCTAGAACTTTTACGTGGTACCACTATTGGAGCCAAATTTTGTCAGGTTGTCATAGAGATCAAGTAAGAAAAATTTTTGAGGTTCTTTGTTTTTTTCTTGCAATTTTTGACCAAAAATTTTTTTTTTCACTGCGATTGTTGAATATGCCCAATTTCTAGTTTTTCGTCAGATTTTTTTAATCACACGACGCCAAAAAACAACAATAGTTTGAAAAAAAGAAAGGTTGAAAATCCCTTTTTATTTATGCATATGGTCGGAATATTGTGCTACTTGCACAGCGACCAGTTGTTCCTGTTTCAAAATCGTTTGTGTTGATAGTGGTTGTAGGTACAAGGAAAAAATCTACTACAAGTTCTCACATTTGTTAGTACAAATTGTTGAATTAGCTATGCAAAGAGTGGATAAATTGCTTCACTTCTTTATAATATTTGCTCATAAAAACAATAATTGTTGTTTTTTTGATTTTGCATTATAAATATGGATAATAAAACTATATAACCTATATAATATTTATAATATATATATATACTATATTATACTATATAATGTATATACTATACGACGTTTATTGTTTTTTTTTGTCAAATAGTCTTTAAAGTTATGAAAGTTTTGAGAAACCTAATTTCATTAAAAGTTTGATTTGGTCTCAAACCTTCTTTGAATTGTAAGATGATAATCTTTATTTTCATTCAGAAACGTTGATTATGCTGGGTTTTCAAATTATGCAGTTATAAACTTTTGTTCATGTAAACCAAAGCTCGCATGCTTTGGCTGCGATCTCAAGACGAGATATTGTCACTGGAAATCGGAAAACTAGTACCAAACTATCGGTTTTTTACACCAAATCCTTTTCACTTACAATATTTTTTGTATCCCGTTGGTAAAGATATGATTTACCTTGCTTGAAAAAACCTAAGTTCTAGACAGAATATATGTCTCAAGATTATCCAAAAATCAAGTTGGCAATTTGCTCTGTTTGATTTTTTCTGTCTGTACCAACTTTTGGATTTTTTATAAAGCAAAATAAATCAATGAGCTTGAAACTCATGATGGCTTAATTCGTTTCGTTAATGTTAAAAAATTTAATAAAAAAAGCTAACTTGATATAAAAAAAAGTCAGTAAGCATGGAAAATCTAATTACCTATTGGGTAAAAGAATGGTGCGCTAAAAGTTTTTGTTATGAAAATGATTGAGGTGAAAGTGAGGTAAAATGTTAATGCGTAAAAAATAATAGGACACTTTTGAATTTACCAAAAAATTGAATGTAGTATCAGGGTTGGATCCAGGATTCTCTTGAGAGGGTGAAACTTCAAAAGAAATTTGCTGATTTTTTAGGTCGACCAATATACTTGTCCGAGCGCTTCCTGAACATTCTAAAGACCCTATTTTATCAAAAGTTTCTGCTCTGCAACCGATTTTGGAAAAAACTGTTTAAAAATGATGTTTTTGAGCACTTTGTGCGTTTTTTTTTCGGCGCGCGCTTCCCTGCAAGTTTATTATATTAGCGCCAAAGGCGGCTTAACAAAAACTTTACTGTTAGTCGGCCGACGGGGTGAATATTAGTAAAGGAGGGAATCTTTAGTTGGCGAGGGGGTCGAATACCTGAGGGGGGTAGTGGAGGTATCGCACTCCCTGTCTCCCCCTAAATTCTCCGGTGTAGTATTAATCATCATTGGCACAACAGAAATCCCCGCAATCCCAGCCCAACAGAGAGTAGTTCGCATGATAACACTTTCCTCGTGAAAAAGGGATCTTAAAGCAAGGTGCAATGGGTGTCAAATCCAGGGGCTTTACTTTTACTTGCATAGGTGCCAATCATCCTTGCATTGACTCAGTGGATGCCCTGGAGAGAGTGGCGACTGGATTGAGACAGAACGAGTGGTCCAATAAGATAGACGTGGACGTGGTCAGTCTACTAGTGGCCAACATCCACGAACTCAACCAGATTGTACAGGGCTTCCTCCAGTTGTACTTCCAGCTAAGGTAGTAATTGTATTTGAAAGAGGCTTCCCCTCAGTGTGCTTCCAGCTAAGGTCTTATTTGTTATTGAAAAAATTAGAAGACTCTTCTACCCCAACAACTCGAAACATTTTTTAAAATCAGAGCTGACGGGGGAGCAGTTGAAAAGCCATTTTTGCAGCTCACTTAACTAGATAATCTTTGTATTAAATTGAATTGGAAATGAAAGTATTGCATTTTTCCGCAGTTTAGTTAGCTTCTATGAATCTTTCGAAAGAGTTGATGGCAATTTTTTATATGCTTTTTTTATTGGAAATTTTTAAAATCGAAAAAAATCCAGTTTTTGATCGGTGGCTTGATCCAGAAAAATCCGTGACTTGATGCAGAATTTTTGGGTAAAATAAGTATCTTTATGAAATTTTTTCTAGGCCATCAATCCGGTATGATCTTTCATCTTCGGATCGAGACGCCGACCAGCTGAAGAATTTCATGTCCCCCCACACCAACGTGCTGAGTCTGGCACGTCGATTCCAGCTACACCTCAACGACAGAGAAGAAGACCAAGTGGGGGGCATTCTGAACCTCATTCCATATATGGTGCAGACTGCTGCTGACGTCACGACTGCAATCAGTGCTCACAGTCATGATTTGGAGCAGGCGGAAATTGAAGAAATGAAACGGTACACAATTAGCAGTTCATTTTCCTTCTATTACGCTAGCAAAAAACTATATATGTCGGACAAAACGCTTGCTAGGAATAAAGGGTCCTTTCTACTTTCTACCTTAGAAAGTAAATCTAAAATTCGCTGAGAAATATTTTATTAAAAAAAGAAGTTAGTATGAATTTACAGCAAGTTGCCTTTTGACTCAATATCTATTTTAACGGTGAGATTAGAGATATTTTTTAGAGATTGGTTGGGGTAGTTGAGGAGAGTGGTGTTGGTGTTAGAAGAGATATTGTTGGGAATGAATTCCCGTAGTTTTGAGCTTCTATTTATACTCAGATGGGGAAATCACGCCACTTTTCGTATCAAATGAGAAGTTACTTCTTAACTTCGTATTCTCTATTCGTACATTCGTATTTTACGAGAAGAAGGTTTCGTATGCTCGTATTTTACGAGAGGAATCGTTAATATTCGCTTTGAATGAGAATAGTCGTTTCAATTCTCAATGCTTAAAACGTTAGACCAATTATTCCAATAGCATTTCCCTTCCTTTTGCAAGGGAATAAAAACATATTTCTTTTGTGGTGGCGGCGGCGTCACATTTTGTGAACGCAATAAAATAATTCTTGTTTTTGTTTCTATTTGAAATCAGAACATATCCATCCTCCTATTTGGAGAGAAAAAAAAACTGAAACTTTCATTTTTTTTTACTTTCACTTGAATAGTGGGGTAATTGTTGATCGATCGAAGCTTTTTCTTTCAATCTCATAAAGTTGGTTCAATAGTTTGTTGGTATTACAGGTAGCAGATGTTTTTGAACAACTGATACTTTGAGTCAGGCTTGAATGAATATAAATACATCAGTTACATTTATAAATCAAAATAGAGTTTACACAACCAAGGGATTTAACTATAAAATTAATTACATCAAAATTATTTGTTTCTCAAAAGTTTGAAGGTTAGTTTTATTCCTTGAACATTCTTTTTCTGAAGTCTTCTTTTCTTCTTGAAGTATGTGAAGTCTTGAAATATGTGAAGTGAGTGTCCATATGCGTAATAAGGGGAGGACTGGTTCATACAAAAGGGTGTATTTTTTTTTATAAAAGTCAAAATTGTTGAGAAAGGAAAAAAATTAATAGCTATACTACATAGCTATATGAAACGAAAGAATAAATGTTTAAATGAAAGGATAAATTTTTACAATTTTCCTTCCAACCGGGCTATAAGTTGGTGATTTTTTGTTTTCAAATTGTGGATTTGCTTTTTCAGCTCCCGGATTTGGTGCGTTTCATGTATATGACTGCGCTGAATTTGCTCAGTATAGTCATCTAACTGGGGAGTTTGTAATTTTGCTGTCAGATGTTTTGCTGGGACATAGATTTTTTGATATTCAAGAAGGGAATTAGTTATGGAGTACATTTTTTTTATAGGGTGATAGGCTTCTAATTTAAAATGATTGATTAATGGATTCAAAGCATAATTGAGATCCATATCGAAGCCGGGATTGCTGTTAGAATTAATGTATCGTTCCCTTTCTTACTGAATATGTAGTTTAGTATTTAATTTAGTGGGGTGTAAGGGCTGTCGCCTAATGGTCATTGGATATTGAGAAGTTGATACCGGCGTATTTGACGTTAGTATCTTAAATGGTCTTACAATCTGGGTCCGTTTTTTAATTTTGGAATACGAGGGAACCAGGGGTATTTTGAAATCAGGGGGTGAAATTTTTAGGGGTGGTGGCTTTGACGCTGTAGTTATTGGGAAGCTGAATTGTTTGAAGTAGTGGCTCAACGAAGGATCGTGTTGAGGTTGGCTTTGCAGTGGATGTTGTAGTAGTAGAAACAGTTGGTTGTTGAGTGAGTGCTGAAATCTGCGAGTCCAGTGGATCAGTTGGTGGCAGGAGTGAGAGAAGGTCCTCAAAATCTCTCAAGTCGTCATCAAGTGATGCGTCCATAGTTGAATCAGTTGGTATATCTTTAAGCATTTCCTCGAGAGTGGTTAGAACAGGATCTTGGTCCATTAGTTCACCTTCCTCTAGTTCACTGTTTGGATTTGTCATTTTGATAGGAAATCTGAGTTAGATTTTTATTTTTGTTTGAGGAATTCAGCAGATTTATTTTTTTTGGAGAGAGGAGGTTTTGAATGCAAGATGTGGAATTGAGCAAGAATGAAAACAACTGTATATCAGTTAGTTTTTAAAGGCTGTTTTTGCTTTTTTGCAAATCTAAGCTCTGATTGGTCGTTGTTATTCGGCGTCTTTCGGAAGTGACTCTTTTTAAGTCGTAATTCCTTCGCCATTCGTTTTGTAATGTTGTGGTTTTTTCCACTCTGGTTTACTGTCGTGGTTTTTCCACTTAGTTTTGATTTGTTGAGATCTAGCAGTGAAATGATTTTTATTCGTTTATGCTGATGTTAATTTTTAACAACTGCATTCCCCTTCCCTATTGGAGGAGGAAAATGAAAAAAAAACATCTCTTCATAAAAGAGGACTAAAAGCAACATCATTTGTTTGCTTTCCGTTCAGTTTTAACTATCTGTATTTTATCCTCAAAAAAAAATTTTCTTCGTCCAAAATGAAATTTATCGATCCTGAAGATAATCTGGTGGACTTCCCGGAGAAGTTTTTGAACTTACGGGATGAGCTAAATTTCAAACATGAAGCCTTGCTGGAGGACAAGGAAGTCGAGAGAAGGGTGGCAATCTACAACGGGATAGTAGAGAAAGGGGCAAACTTAACGCCTATGGAATTTATGATATTTATGGACCGGAGTTATGTCTTCAAGTATCCGGTACTGAATACCGATGAACTATTTGAGCTGGGCTCAATTCAAAGTAGGTTCTTCGCCAAGAAACTACGAAGCCCATGAAGTGGAAACCATGTGGTTTCACAAAAAACAATGGGTTTTGTCCTTATTCTTTGGAGAGGATGTAAGTTTGTTTTACAATACACCCAATTTTAAAAATAATAAAAAAAAAATTTTATTCAAGTGGCATGGCAACATAGAAATAGTATATAAATTTGTTTTACTTTCAAGAAGAATTCTTTAGAAAGCCAGCAACAGAGGAAGAAATTAGAAAAAAGGTAGAGCTGGATATCATGTTGGAGAAAATATATCAAGCTTGGTGGCGGCCTTATTCAGCGCTGCAGTTTGCAGTGAGGAGCCTGAGTAGGGCCGCTGAAAATTCTCTGGAAAAGATGGCGGCTGTTAAACTAATCAAATCCTACACGGATATAAAGTCTAACCTTTATAAAAGTTATTTTTAAATCTATTTGTAAATATGTTTATTTTTGGTGTTTTTTTTGTGGTTTTATTACAAACAAAGGAATTATAAAACAGAAAAGAAAAGAAGGCCAATAAAAAAAGCATAAAAAAACAATGAGTTTGGCCAAATAAATACTTAGTGTTTATTATTTCTTTTTAAATTTGCCAATTAAACTAGATGGAATTGTAGTTCCATAAAAGTTTGTAGGACAATTTGTCCGTTTAGGTCTTTTAGATTCGAGAATGTCATTAAAAATGTCATTAAAGACAAGTTGGGATGGAATATTGGGGTATCAGCCATTTTATATTTAGTTTAAACCTTTAAAAAGAAAGATAGAAAAGTATATAAATTGTTTTAGAAAACTTAAATTTCCGATTTGGAAATTTTATTACTTCTCTTTATTTGTAAGAGAAATTTCAATAATTCTCCAGTTTGAGAATTGGAATCTTTGCTTTTTTATCTCTTTTTGAGACTTTAGCAATTTTTGCGAATTTTTAGAAGGTGAGCCTCACTGGTCGCACCAATTTATTACGCTAGCAAAAAACTATATACGTCGGACAAAACGCTTGCTAGGAATAAAGGGTCCTTTCTACTTTCTACCTTAGAAAGTAAATCTAAAATTCGCTGAGAAATATTTTCTTAAAAAAAGAAGTTAGTATGAATTTACAGCAAGTTGCCTTTTGACTCAATATCTATTTTAACGGTGAGATTAGAGATATTTTTTAGAGATTGGTTGGGGTAGTTGAGGAGAGTGGTGTTGGTGTTAGTAGAGATATTGTTGGGAATGAATTCCCGTAGTTTTGAGCTTCTATTTATACTCAGATGGGGAAATCACGCCACTTTTCGTATCAAATGAGAAGTTACTTCTTAACTTCGTATTCTCTATTCGTATGCTCGTATTTTACGAGAGGAATCGTTAATATTCGCTTTGAATGAGAATAGTCGTTTCAATTCTCAATGCTTAAAACGTTATACGAATTATTTCAATAGCATTTCCCTTCCTTTTGCAAGGGAATAAAAACATATTTCTTTTGGTGGTGGCGGCGGCGTCACATTTTGTGAACGCAATAAAATAATTCATGTTTCTGTTTCTATTTGAAATCAGAACACTTCCCCCGAGCACCAGCAAAATTTTCCCCTGCAAAGTCTCCCCCCAAGCACCTCAGTGTCCAATTTTTATTTTAAACTAATTCACAGATTGGAAAAATTCATTTTTATGCAGCGTTCTTTAATAATACAACTCTGCTATGAATATGGTTATTGAGAGTAAGTGGTCTTTTTGAGATTTGTTTAGCGGTTTTTCTCTTCTCTGAAAGATTAACGAACTTGCGGTGAGTTTTAGAGCTCAGCAGAAACCTCCAACACCGGCTCCAGTTGTGCAGCCCCGGACACCAGTGCAAACGTGTGACGCCAACTCACAAGTGATGGGCAAGGAGATCTTCCAGGCGTCGCGAGCCAAGGACTCCGGCACCCAATTGTCGGCCGAAGACTGGCGCAAGATGCAAATACAGGAGAAGAACCGCAACTATGTTTATGGCTTAGGACACTTCCCGCCATTTGCTGTAGACAACTGAACTTGAAAGGAAAAGAATCCAAGATTAGACGGAATAATACTGTTTTAGAGAATATTTTATGAAATTTGAAAGAAACTGGCTAGAAGTTTGAGTTTTTTTGATGCATGATAATAAACATAATGAGTGTCTTCTGTATTCTAACTTCAGAAAAAATTTATCACCTCATTCTTTATTTGAGTATTGTTATCACCAGATAAAGTGCGTTCTGTGCTAATAGAACAGAATGACATCATTGCAGGAAAAACGCGTGCTGTGCTAATTGTAGAAACAATATATTTTTTTTGTTGCATGTTTGCTCAAAAAATATTTTCGTCAAGTTTGTTTTGGCTAGTGCGAGACACTTGAAAAAGGCAGCAATAGTTAGTTAGTAAATTTTTTTTCAAGGCAAAACAATAGTAGGACCAGTAGTGGTTCCTTTTAGATTAGTAGTGGCTCAGTAGCTGAGCGGTGAATTAGTGACAAAAAACAGCAAAAAAATCAGACAATTTTCTCGATCCTGACCAAAATTTTATGAAACAACTTTTCGAAATCCCAATGACGATTAATAGGGTTTCAACATTACAAGAGACTGTTTTGCCTGCGTGCAACCTTCGCCACCCCCGAAAAAGAACCGATTTAGTCCAAAGTCCGTTCCCGCACATAGAAAGGGTGGGAGCATAACAAATATTTCAATAGCTAAACAATTAGCTTCAAACGTCATTCTCAACCCCTATCCTTCTAATAATCTCAATCAAGCCACAACGACATGATTTAGATTCGGGGTGTTTTTGAAAAAGAAAATTAAATTGGCGTATTCCTTGTACAACAAAAAGGCTGCACAAGATTATATACCCCGTATGTTCAAGTTTCAACTAGCCTCAATTTGAGCACTTGTTTTTCAAGTGAAGGGTCTTTCAGATAATTTTTTCAAAGCTTCATAAAATGTTGTTCTTTTAGCTTAATTGTTGTGATCAAATAATTAAATGGGTTTATGGACTAATTTTTTTCAACCCAAAGACCGGAAAATATAGAAAATATAAAAAACAAAAAGTTAAATTCCTTCTAGATAGAAAAAAAAGACGTAACACTCTTCCAGTTCAAACGTGATTTTGTACTTGTTTTTTTTCTTATAAACTTACTTAGCCACGATGAACCCAATAGATAATTGCGGCGACAGTCGGGCCTCATTGCAACTACAAAATGTCGTGTGTAAAATTCAGCGGTAAAAAAAGTAAATGATGTAAACCAAAACTTGGAAAAAATGAGAGGCCTTACAATTAAACAAGGTCAAAAAAAATCAGCAAAATCAGAGTTTATGGTTGATCCTTTGCAAGATCAAGAGCGCAATATGAATAATGAATAAAGATTGCGTGGTGGTAAGGAATCGAGCTATCAATGCGAGAAATATCCATGATGTTACAAGCAAAACAGGGAATTTTCAACTAATGTATTGAAGTAAAAACTATTGATGGGTTGTTACCGAGTGTCCAAGTGTAAAAGTAAGTTCATATATTTTGCAGATAAAGATATGGTTTCATGAGTGCTATCCATATATTCAATACGATAAATCAAAATTACATTTGAGTGAGTGAGCAACTGCCCCCATTCTGAGGCTGAACTAAGATCGGAGGCAGCAAATATGGTAACGATTACATCGACCAACAATTGTACAGTTTCGATATTGGTTGCAAACGATAAAACGAAACACGACTAAGTTTTGCCGGTACATTACAAGATGGAATTGCTGAAAAATGAAAACACTGCTATCGAACGCAATCGACTGAAATTATCAAGAGTGGACAAAAAATGATGATGAGAGATATCCAGCGTATGAAAAGCAAAAATACTGACAACCATTGAATGTCGTAAGTATCGATAACTGCCAAAAAAACTCTTAAATAATGGCCTTTATGTGGAAGCTTGAGCGGAAACAATTTATCTTGCGCTTGTTTCGTTACTTTTTCAGGTTGGTTTGATTTCTTTTACCGGCTTTTTTTCAAAGTATTAATCAACATTCCATATATGGAAAGAAAAATCCTAGATTTTGTCTTCGTCCATTTTTCTTGGTACCATAAAAATGAAAAAAAAAGCATGTGTATTTGAAACTCAAAAACGCAATTATGAACTTAGGAAGGAGCAATAAAAAGTTCCTTTGCAGCTAAATTACTTACACATGCTCATAACCAGTTAAAGTGTAGTAAAAAAATTTCTGTTTCAATGACCATGCCTTGTCTGTGAGTCCGCAGGCAGCCTTAACCTACTACGAGTTCACCGTGAGAAAGTTTGGGCAGGGTCACTTTCATCGAGATCAGATAGCTGTTTCGGGAATATAGATTGGTTGGTGCTACCTGCATGTAAGTTTGCAAGCTGTCTTAACCTGCTGTGAGTGCACGGCAAAAAGAAGTTCAGACAAAATTTTGATGATTCATATGCTTATGTGAACTTTTTTGCTATAAGCAAACATTCTCTATAAACAGACTAAGAGAGTTTTTTCAGTTATTACAAGGAAAAAATCTAAAAGCAAAAAAACAGGTGGCCACGAGGAAACACCTCATGGCCACTATTTGGCTACAAAACGTTAGATCACTACCAAAAAAAATTAGATTAACGTTTCATACTGCTCGAGAGTTTCTCAGATACATCAACAGCATAATGCGTTACAGAAACAACGGTTTAACGGTCACAAAAAAAACGTTCTTTAAATAGGGTTATCAAAAAATGATGAATGGCTCACGGATAAAAAGGGTATTGGAGTGTTTCCAAGTAACAGTTACCAAGTACAAAAAATCCTTAAAACAAACTACATTGTTTGAATTATGCCTGAAAGTTTTGCAAGACTGTGGAGAGTTAACTCACATACGTTTAAATTGTATCTAGTTGAGTTAAATAACCAAACTTTTGATGACCTACAGTCTCACTGTAATGATTTTTGTTACATTTCTATTGGCTTCACAATTTATTTGCGGTGACTTCTATGTAATTTGTAATGGTTCCTCAAAAAATGGTCAGAACTCTAAAACTTTTGTTAGGACACAACTTAAAGACAAAAATGCATCATCTGCTACAAGAGTATGAACTAAATCCAGAAGTGTGGTATGGTAGACAGACTTATTTTTAAGAACCTGAAAAGGCACACGAATGTCAAAAACAGCAATTACACAGTAGCGGTCAGGAACTGAGTTGACAGTTCTTAACCGGAATTCATCTTCAATCAATTGCGAAACTGCGGTCAAACAATTTAAGATCATTTGACCACTTAAGCTAACAGAAAAATCGACATTTAAGCGGTCCGAAAAACTTGGATTGATAAACAAGTTACCAAATTTATAATTCTGCTGCGAAAAAGGCACTCGAAAATGATGATTGCACAAAAGTCCAAAAATAGTAGAAATAAAAAAGACAACACTTATTTAAAACAAAAGGCAATTTCTACCAACAGAAACTAAAATAAACAAGTACAGAAAAAAAAGAAATATTTTGCAAAATTTTCAAAAAAAAAAACGACTGAAAAAAAACGTTAAAAAAACGGAACAATAGACATGAGTCAATGTTGAAATCTTTTTTGCGATTTTTCTCAACAATAGGTGAAAAACTTGCTTCGAAAAGGGTAAACAGGAGAAATCAAATCACAATGAAATAAAACTTGAATTCAATGGCCCTGTTGCACATTGAAGTAAGAGTGGCAGAAAAATTGCTGATTTACTTTTAACCTAAGTATAGCACAGACAGTTTCAATTCTGATAATGTTTATTCGAAAAAAACTAACGCCATCCATAGTTGCGGTACTTACAAAATTGTTCCAGAAAAATTTTCATAAGACATACTCTCGAGAATGCCCTAATTTAGAAAAAAACCATTGCAATTTACAATGAATGACGTCACTTCCAGTCAAAAACCTTTGACCCATTTCATTGCTTCAAGCATTTGGAAAAAATCTCGAAATACCGTTTTTATCCCAATTCTGAGCTTCCTGCTAAATCAATGTAATTTTAAAACAACTAGTTTGGATTCGAAGCAAAAGGAAGTATCATAAATGCAGTTGTGACGCAGTGAATTTTTTGGATCTAAAGGGACTTTTGTCGCAGTAAATGATAATTTAAAATTTCAAAAATGTGTTTTTTATGGCTTGTGAGTGTTTGGAATCATATCTAGAATAAAAACAGTATGATGTATACAGAAGTAAAGAAAAAGTTTTCATTTTTAGGGAACGTAAAATTTGGTGTACCAAAAAGGTCTGTGCTGGTTCTATTCATCCTCATTATTATTGTCCCACCATTGCATCAAATGTTATTTAAATTTACCTATCACTGCATCAAATGTCATTTGAACAGATCATCAAAATGCAGTAGACCAGACTAGTTAGACCAGATCAGACACACTTTCAAAATCGACAAACGAAAAACTATAGCACTCAAAAAAAGCACCCTTAAATAGAATTTTTACACCAAAAATCAATTATCATACGCATTGGGAAAATGTTTCATGCCTCACGCCGATATCAAACTGAAATAAAAAAAATTGCGTCTCAGCAAAAGATAATAATAAAATAAATCATAGCTTTTCGGACAACTTCAAGTAGAAAAATCATGGTTTGCTAAATCCTGTATTCAACTGATGAGACGAAACTCACAATCATCGTTTTTGGTGGTGAGGTTACTGATAAAAGAACTATAAAAAATGGTTCTCAAAGATTTCAACTACAAAAACTACACTGTTCATCAGCAGTTTATTTATATCTACTATTTTGTTATATATATATATATATATATATATATATATATATATATATATATATATATATATATATATATATGTTTGGTCTTGTATTTTTCAATTGTTCAGCGAAGTATTTTGTGAGCCTGATAAAAACTTTTAAATATTGTTACAACCAATTGAAAAAAGTGGAAGTTCTTTGTATTCGGATGTGTTGTAGTCAATTTCTTATTTTTTATCTTTTTGATTTCCACGTAAAATCAGGTACCACAAAAACTCATAGAAATGGGTCAAATCAAATATCATGTTTAAGCCTTTTCAGTCGTATCGGAACCACAATAAAAAATTTTGGTCAGTGTTCGAGCTATAAAGCATCATAAAAATCTGTTTTCTAATTGGAGCTATGACGAAGCTAGCCCCAATTGCAGATAGTTCTGTCTTCCAGCTATGACGAATATGCTTAATTTTTTTTGTTCAAAT